CTTCATAGCCCCCCCGCCCACCTTCCCCCTCCCCTTTCCCAGCCCCCCCCCCCGACGCCCTCCCCTCCCCTTTCCCAGCAGAGGCCTCTCCCCCACCCCTTTCCCAGCCCCCTCTGACAGGGGCACCTCCCCCTTCCCAGCCCTTCTCCCCCAAACAGGGGCATCTCCTTCCTGCCCCTCATAGTCCCCCCAACAGGTGCATCTCCCACCCCCTCTCTGGTGGAGTTTCTGGAAGTTGGACTGTCCCAGGCCCCAGTTTTACTCTGTACCTGGCCCCACAGCCCCCCTACTCCAGGTCAGATTGTTCCTTCTCAGGATGCTGTGCAGGGATCCTGACCAAGGAGCTGGCATGGCGGGTAGCACGTGAGGCGTTGGCTGGCTGATCTGAGCCTGGCATGGGGCCAGCCAAGAGCAGGCTAAGTCCCTGCACTAAGGGGTGTGTGCTGCCCCACACTCTCTAACCTGAGCCCAGTAGGGCTGATTAGATTAATGAAGATTGGGTCTCTCCTTTCCACCAGGGTGGCAGCACTGGTAACTTGAGAGCAGGGTCAGATTCACTAGTCCCGATTCCCCACTGCCTTACATTGTGTGTAGTCATTTTCACCGTGGGTGTCAAACGATACCATGCGGATTGGGCCCTGTTTGACACCCTCTGAGTTCAGGAGCACAAGGCACAGGGTGGAGGTTCTGGCCCGCTTCTCCAATGTGTCATTAAGGTATTTATTTTGATTAATAAAGCATAAACAAGTGCCCATCCCATGCTCTAGGCACCCTTTGCATCAGTGAATTCTCCCCACAACATCCCAGGTAGGCTGTACACTTAGCTCTAATGCTATCCACCTGGGAGTGCACTGGCCCAGGGGATCCAGTAACCCTCCTCCACCATAATGAAACCCCTCCACCCCTCAGCCTGCTGCCTCCCCACAGGCATGGCAGAAGAGATCAGTCGTGGTAGCCTTGCACTTAGCGTGCCAATATCCAGGCTGATTGTGAAACACCCTCATGCAAGATATTTATAGAGTGCCAATCAGCACAGGGCCCAGGTGCTAAATTACATGCTGTAGCACAACTTTTCATAAAGCCAGAATCACTTTCATTTTCTTACTCGTTCCCTATTCTTGCAGTGCCCTCCACGGATCTGTACCAAGTATCAGGATCCCCCTGAGAGGAGCCATCTGGCTTGCGGTGGGGTCGAGACAACCCGCCAGTGTGTCTCAGCAATAGCTCAGCCTGGCTGCCTCTCTCTTTTCTTTAGCTCTTTCTTCCCCAGCCCAGTGGTGGGCTCTTTGTGTGTCGAGGGGGGGCAGGGGTGATGTTGCACTCCATATGTTTATGGAACTATGCATATGAGTATGAATATAATGTAACTGGAATATGCTTTAGGCAAAAGGTCTCTTGTAAGGTATCATCACAAAGCTTATGAGCTACTGAGTGTGTGAAAATGGGCTCAGATGTAGTTTCAGCACATCAGGTGACAGTCCCAAGGGGGTCTCTGTGACCACACCTGTCACAGGGGGAGCTCAGATTCCAACACTGCAAGCAAAAGCCCAGGTCCTAGGCCCTTTGCCTGTAGCAGGGGTGAAAAGCAGCCAGAAGACTCCTTCAGAAAATACCCTGCATACATGGTATTATAGGAGACACCCCCATCCCTGGCTCTTATCTAATGCTTTTCATCAGCCAATTTCAGAACTCTCCACAAAGGAGGGCAGTACAATTATCCCCATTTTACAGATGGGGAAACTGAGGCACAGAGCAGGGACATGCTTTGCCCCTGGTCACTCAGCCAGCCAGCAGCAGAGCTAGGATTCCTGAATTCCTGCCCAATGCATTAGCCACTAGGCCACACTGCCTACCACACCTATCACAGCAGGGTAATGGAGGAGCCATGTGAGACACTTCACAGAAGTTTATTGCCTCCACCTGTGTTTTTTCCTGAGGTGCTATCATGACCCAAGCCAGTGCCTGGAGTAATGTACAATACTACACCAGAACCAAACAATGGAACTGTCCATGCCATGAATGCTTCCCAGAAGAGTTAAGTTCTTTAAACCCAGAGAGCTATTAGAGCTCAACAAACCTGCGGTGAATCAGTCTGTGTTTGCTCGGGAACAGGAGGCATCTCCTGTGCAGCAATCAGAGAGAGGGTGATGGGTATTTGACAAAGTGGCCTGAGGCAGAATGCCATCTTGCATGCTAGGGGTATGTAGTCAGGAGTCCAGGCACATTGGCCCTCTGATTCAGCACTGAACACTTCTACAAAGGTAGAATTTCCCCATCCCACATTTTGCAGCACAAAATCCTTTCTAACCTCCAAGAGGCAGCTGCCTTTGTGAGTGCCCAGCAGTATCGCAGGAAATAGCAAAGCAGACACCTGCATCATTAAAAGATCCCTTGGCACTCTTTGCAAGAGTAGGTGCTGTCCCTAGGGCCCTGGCCAACTTCTAACATGCCTAATTATGTTGTACTAACCTGGAAACACTGCCAGTCTACATTCCCTAGAGTTTCAAATCAGGAAGTTAATAATCCCGTCTCTTCCTAAGAAAGGGAACAAAAATACTCCCCTGCAAAAATGACTTGTTCCTTTGTGCTGTTCCATAGGTGCCACATTCCACCTCAGAAATGGCTGCACCATTTTGCCCAAGGGGGGACTGCAGGCTGTAACCCTGAGGTTCTGTACTGAGGTTCTTTGGGAGCCTTCAGGCTGACAATGGATGGTGGCTTTGTGGAGAAAGGCGCTGAGACAATGTGTTCTGGCTGCACCGCTGCAGCAAATTCATGGCTCCTGAGCTGTAGCAATGCACTCAAAACAGAAGAGCAAGAAAATCTTCCCACGCTTTGATCACTGTAGCACTGGCAGTTGCACAGGGGGGAAAGAATCTGCACCACTCCTCCGCTGGTGTGAATCAGTGTGTGGCGCTCATGATTGCCCACGTCCTCAAAGGTATTTAGATTCCTAACTTCCACTGAAATCAATGGGAGTTTAGTGCCTAAATATGTGTGCGGATCAGGGCCCTTCTTTATGCTAAGTCAGTTCCAGCTTCCAACTGGCTGGGCATAACCACAACCAGAGCTGGGAAGCTTAGCCCTCAGAGGCACAGTCCCCAACACCACACAGTGTAGCTCCATTGACTTCCCTGGAGCTATACTGACTTATTCCCGCTGAGGAACCGGTCCCTCATGCAGGGCGAAATCCTGGCCACGCTGGGGTTTCTGCAGTGGGGGAAGAATTCACCCATATAGCCTCCATCAGGGAGGTTCTGATTTCCTGACGTTTGATACTGGCTAATGAGCATGCTCATCTCACCTGTTCAGGGTCCAGCACACTCTCTTAGGTATATATTCCTGCTATCCAAGGGAATCAGGTGCCTGCTGGCAATTAACCAACAGGGGCATCCTAAGGAAAATGGTGAGCTGCCTGGTGGCTGGCACAGAGCTGGCTGCAGCAAGCCTGCCAGCCACCAAAGGCAGCAAACCATTCAGGCCAAAGTTTTCCAAAGTGATCACTGAGTCCGAATGCCTCCATTTTTGGGCACCCGATTTTGAGATGCCTCAGGTCTGATCTTCAGAAGCACTGAGTGCCCCAAACTCTGCGTGAAAGCAGCAGGGATATCTGCAGACCTCAGACACCCAAAAGCATTTGAAAACATGGGTATCTGTCAGGGCAACTATTGGGTGTTTGTCTGAGATTCACCCATCCTCTCACGCTCTCAGAGAGTGGCTTTAGGATGCCAGTATTAGCATTATTCCCTTACAGCAGCTCTTCCTCTGATCCCTGATGGCTAAGAGAGCCCTGCTGGTGCTGTGCACATTTCAACCACTGGTACCTCTCGGGGGAATTCTGGCAATGTCTTGGGAATGCTGCTCACTCACTCTGCTCTCCATGTTCGCTCACTAACATGCAGGGAAAACACAGCCCAGGTTATTTACAATCTGCTGCTGTTCTGTGCCTGGGTTCTATCTGCAGTTCTGCCACTAGCCTGCTGGGTGACCTTGGGCATGTCACTTCCTTGCCCTGTGCCTCA